GCGTCGATCGTATGAATCCTAGGGGATCGCGTGAGTCATATATGTATGGTGTGTATGAATCGTAGATACGTATCGTGTGTACGTGTCGTATGTATGAATCATACCCACGGTCTGATATCCTACGGACAACATGTCAAATACTACAAGATATTGTGAGGACAACTAGTAGTAGTAGTTGTCAGAGAGGAGAGAAATTCTTTTTAGAAAAATTTGTGTACAAGGACAGTGGAATGGCAGTGCATACAAGAAAGAACAGAAAATGCAATACTATCCAAAGACAAATGGAAGTCTTCCCACATCTGCACAACCACCCAGCAATGGGGTTATGGGTTGTGGAGGCCCATGTAGGATCAATCTGGTTGGAGGTAATATACTTCCTACTTTCAACTTCCGTGGACAGCAATGTTAATTGTGGAGCCGCGCACTACCAATCACCCGTGTCAAGGTGTGCCAGCAATTCCTGTTCATAAGCTTTTGTACTCTGGGGATTGTTGATGCCAAGTGAACCAAGTCTCTAGTAAGAGCCATTTCTCTCATGATGAATGACAGGGTTTTCTCCATTCTATTCACGTAGTCATTCACTTCCATTTCAACAACAATGAAAGCTGTCAAGCCTTGGTTGAACTGTCTGTCAGGTTTGGTGGGCAAAGGAGGAAACTGTACATAACAGAAGTACCAGTGAAAAACATCCCTGACAAATGTCAAGTACTCGATAATGGTTTCGGCCATTACAAAGGTAGAAGTGGCAGAAGAGTCACCAGCCTTGACACCATCCAATTGTGTGGTCTTCAGGAATAGATTCTTATTTTATCATAGCGTGGGCCAAGCAAAAAAAGACAGTTTAAACCGTACATTAGCAATTCAAGATATACGTAAACGAATATCGTTCAATATTCGTCGTACACCGTACTCCCCCACGCCATTAGAAAGCTCTTTGAATTCTCTTTTCAATCATGTGCTTATCATACTTAAGCGTCCGTTGGGGAAAAAGTTATTGCCCAAACTGTCAGTTCARGACTAAAACAGTTATACGGTTAAATTATACGTGTGCGTGGATTAGCGGCCATCTAATTACTGTGTAATGACTCATGGGATTCAAAATTGGCTTGTACCRGAGTTTACAGCCGGCACGTGTGAGCAAAACTATTTTGCACGTGCAAGCAAAACTATTTTGGTGGGATTCAAAAATTTGATTACGTACGAGTACTGAGCACGTGGATTTCGTATGTATATTGAATATATAATTTTTAGTCAAAGTAGTCATTACACGCAAAAAGATGGCCACGAATCCAAGGTTATAACCATACATTGGCTGGCCAAGCCTATACGATAACAAGGTRTTGAAATTACCCTATCTTCTATTGAAGTCATAACGCGTCAAAACGCTTCTTAAACTGAGACTGTGGAATGATGCAGAAATGAGTCCCTTTGCTGGAGGTGTCGTTGCAAAGACACATATTGACTGATGGATGGATGGTCCTTGGAATATTGCCAGCCATGTTGCCAGACACCTGTGTGACTGATGGACAAGTTATGACTACATTACTACTGGCAATATAAACACAAGTTGCGAGTTCTGTGAACRATGTTGCAACATATCTGCTTGCCGATTTGCCAAAATTCTTGTCATAGTATTCTTCGTTCCCCAAAGCACCCTCCACAGCTTTCTCAAGAATCTTCTGCTTCCTCTCTTTCCAGTGAAGACTGTGTTTTGACAGCACTGCCTGTAGTTTAGGTTAGTTGTGGTGGAAGTGAACTTGGAATTGACACCAGTGGAGAAAACATAAAGAAGCGATTTCACCTGTTTATGGGGTGAGAATTTAAAGCAAGACTCAGTACTTGTGGTCATCAAAAGGGACTGTTGGTAACAACAGCATTTTCTTAGATTTTTCCATTTGTTACAGCTTTGGAGAAAAATGGTCAAAACCAGGAACGCCATTCCTGGATTTGGTATGGCATGATTTGGACACAGTACATGATGCAACAAGCACTAGGGAATTTTGATTATGGACAATGGTTTTCTGTTACATGAATTTTTGTCCAAGCAACATCATAGAAAGAAACAGACAAGAMCGGGAACCCTGTTCTTTGTTGCGTTAGTGTGGGTTTTTGAGTTGGTGTTCAAACCAGAAATTCAAAKAAGGAATTAATTCAAATTTGAATTTTGTAGGAGGAAAAAGAAAAATAGTGTTGGAAGAAATGGTTAAACCTAGGGTAGTGCATGTACAATTCATTGGTATCAATAGTAGGTACATTGATGCAATTGGTCAGAAGATGGGATACTAACATGATAGTACATACACAGTTTAAAAACAAGGTAGTACCAGAATTGTTCAGCAGCAATTGCTTCATAGTAGAAGGAGATGGAGGAGAGACATACATGCTGAGAAGTAGCTACAGACAAGAAAATAGTCCAGAATTCAAGTACTTCAGGACAAGAATTTTAGGGGTGGTGTCCCCTAAACAAACTGAATTCAAGTGAAGGTGACACAAAGATAAACTGAGCACCATTTTCACTTGTGACAGACAAAGCCTTTGCACTACTGTTTTTGTACAACAACTACAAATCATGGAATAATTCTGGGAGTGGAAAGAAAACCAGAAAACAATTCACCAATAGCAGGATTGGTAACAAAAAGGGCTGGTGGAGCTATGAGGGGTGTATGCTGTTCTTCAGGAAGTTAGTCAAAGAAGTAAAGAAGCAAAGAGTAGAAGATACTTTGGAAGAGATTGAACAAGCACTAAGGGCAGCGTCCAAAAGAGAAAACAGAGAGGTCAATGAGGATTGAATTAAAAGAAAAAGAAAATTGTGCAAAATGGAAAAAAAAGTTGATCAGAAAAAAATTTGGGAGGACAATGAGATCTTAAATAAACTGAGTTCAAAGATACAAATGGTTTGAATACTGAACTAAAGTACTACAGTAAAAATAATGGTACATTACAGATACCAAAAAGAGTGGCAACAGCAGTACAAAATACATGCAATGAGATTTTCTTTTCCAATTAGATAGAATTGCTAAACTGTGAAAAAAATGGCACTAGTAGTAGAAAAGTTGTCAATTTGTGGCAGAGAGTTGGCAAGAGGGGAGAGGAATTTGAAACAGACACGAGGAATGTTGGATGTATCGTAGAATGAAGAAGTGACCATTAGTAGTTTCACTAAGGAAGGAATGGAATCAATCTGAATAGAACATAATATTAGACACTTCATCCTCGGGCTTTTCTAGCGGACTCGACGTCGTTCCTTGTGCGTTTCAGAAGATCCATCAAACATGGTTACAGTGATTTCGACCAAAACTTCTTTGTGTTTTGAATTCGGATTGACGACGACTCGTTCTTTCGTTGATATGCTTTGAATGTTTCCCTCATATTTTTCAAGGAAGTCGATATTGCCGGGGCCAATACAACTGTATTTCTTAGTCGTCGACATAACTCTCTTGTTTGCACCAGATAAGTGTACCCTATTCTTTTTCTTTTCTTCTTCCGTTTGAAATGTGTGCGCTGCATTACCATCGAAAGCTACAGAAACCGTTCTTGGGCTACTGGGTGCAAACAGTTTTTCCGTTCTGCTCCTCTCGGTATCCTTTTTCCTTATCAGAACTGGTTTTGACTTCGTCGACTTATGTTTCTGGCGAGGACCTCTATTGGCACTATGGCATTCGATTTCTTTGCCGTTAAAATATTCATTTGCCTTTTCTGTTCCAAAGTTGTCCTGAAAGAGTTTGTAGAGTTGTTGGCGCTTCTCTTCAGTGAGACGAGGAACAAAATAAGAAGATCCCGTCCTGTCGGATGATTTGATATCTATCGTTTTTGTTCCATCCGAAGCTGTTTTAAAATTAATTCTTTTGGTTACTCCGGAAACCTTGTCGACTTGAGTAACTGAGGCGATTCTAAAGCCAGACGTGTTGCTCCTATCTAACGTTTGGAATTGTGTTTGCGGTTTTACGGGAGAACACGTACTCCTCCTTGTCGAATCTGAAAACTTTTTTGTATTCGAAGCTGTGTGGTTCTTGCCATCGAACTTTGCATGGTTGCTCTTGTTCTGATTCTGGTCATAGTATCTCGGGCCGTTGGGGTCGTATCCTTGTTTAGAATGAAGCTGAGATAGATCATAACTCCTCCGGGATTCGTCGTCTCGAAGAACTTCATAGGCGTGGTTTATYTTTGCAAACGTCCTAGCCGCAATGCGACTGTCTTCGCCACGGTTCTTGTCTGGATGATGGATGCGAGCTAATTGTCGAAAATTCTTTTTGATACATGATGGATCAAGGGCGACGTCGGATCTGGACAACCCCAGAATTTGATACGGATCSTCTCCTTTTTCCATCCTCTTTTCTGTTCTGCGACCGAAGCTGAAAGTTATTTAATGCAGCATTTTGTTTCGCATTTCCAGGAGTGGCGTTCTACGTTGATTTCGAAAAGTGTTCCCACGAAGGATGGTGCATAGTGCTGTCGTAACGGTACGAGTACGTATTCTGTTTCCGCCGACGTACTCGAATCCAGTGTTGGTCATTCTACTTTTTCTTTAATCGTGCTTATGAAGTATCATTTAAAACCTGTGTCGATTCGTTCCAAGAATGAACAATTTTGACAGGTCATACTCATTGGTCATGTCATTCATATTGCCATACAAATAAATAAAAGTACGAGTACTGTAACGAAGAACAATAACAAATCGTGTTCATCCTCAATAATGACTACGTACGTACAACTGTACCGTACTGCTTGCTGTATCTTTTTTTGTGCGTGGCAAGACCAAAAATATCAATAGTACTAATGATATGAAGTATGTATACTCGTACTTGAAGTAACGATAAACTAGTATTACTATGCTCTTTAATAGTTCTTGTTCCAGTAATATTAGAGGATTGGAGTGCAGTACGTAGTGATTGTTTGTCAAGCTGTCACTACGAGCTCTCTAGCCACCGGAGAGGTGTTGGCGGTATTTTYTTGTTTTGTAATACAAGTTTTGTGTAGAATAACGAGAATCACTCTTCAATACTACCAGGTAGTTTACGGTACAATGTGATGGTGAATGTCACACCGACTGCTATTGCTGWAATGTTCTTCGTACTTTCCTGCCGATTTTAAAGTGCTACTATCAATGTGGTTGAAAYTCTTTCTATTAGCATACCTATCAATCGCTCACCTCACTCTTCATCTAAATAGTGCTTCTTCTCGAGTCGGAAGAGTACGTACTTCGATCTGGGAACGACGATATATATTRTAATCAAATAGGGCAATATATCTAATTTAAACTCTGAAGAGAAGGAAAGGMCAGATGAGTCTGAGCTGAGCCTCCTGCGTGGAGTTAGGACAACACCTTAATAGGGCGCTACCGCAGATAAAAATACATTTCTATACATGAATGACGAAGAATATTCAGAACGAAGCGTCGAGCTTTCTTCGTTCCCAGTTGATTCTTCGTGGCTTCCGTGGGTTTCTTCATTCGTGCTTGGTCAATTTCCCCACGTAATCGTCGCCTTACGTTAACTCCAGTCATWTCCCATCAAYCGAACAACTTGCTTTGCCTGAAAGAACGGTTTCATCTTGATTCAAAGTTATGATCTCTGGGACGAACTCGAWGGATTTGATCGGAGATCATCTTCGTTGTTTTCGAGGGTGTTGAGTGTATTCGAAAATACCCACTCAAGGGAGTTTCCGGCACCCCGTTTAGCTGGCTCGTCGGTTTCGTCCAGGTGGTCAAATATGGCACCTCCTTCGTACTTATTTAGGTTTCGATCACGACGATTGTCCGGATCATCTTCTTCTTYCTTCGCAGCTCGATTGTAMCCGGGGCGTTTCCAATCTGATTTTTCTTTCTTGGCTCGTTCTTCCTTMTTGTAGCCCCCGCCAGCTAAAAAGGACCATTTGCCTTTTCGTTTGTGTTCCACTACACCACCATCGGGTTCRTAATGTTCCAATGCGTATGGATCATCTTCGGGGGGAGGAGGCCCRTCYTTTTCGATGTGTTTTAGTTTCATTCCATCACCTTCTGGCACTCCTTTATCGTATTGGTCGAGAATCTTCGGCTCRGGAGGTGGAGGAGGTTCTTCGTATTCCGGTTCTTGTACCACTCTGTAGTACCGAATACCTCCCCCTTCGCCAACTTCAGTAGCAGCCGTTGATTTCATGCTCATCTTATTGGCATCAGGGTCGTTGTAGTCCCCTTCGAAACCATCTGGCCTRTTTTCGATATCCGCGGGAAGGCTACCCATGGCAGCTGGATCATCGGGAGCACGCTCTTGGTTTTCCTCGTCGTCATCTTTTGCAACAGGACATAATATCCAGCGCCTGCGGCAGCAGCAAAGCAGAAGTAGCAAGAATAGCAACCACAAATAATTGGTCTCCACTTCAAGATTTTTCTCAACTGGTACAGGAGGAATTRTCGGTGGAGGAGTTGGTGGGACCGGCGGCGGAATTGGCAAGGGTGGAGGGGGGTATCCGCAAAATGAAATGATGCACTGGTCCGTCCTTACACACGCCTGCCTCAAAAAATCTTGTTCCGTTTGGATATATTCTTCTTTTGGCGGTTGCTGTGYTGTCTGTCCAGAGGGTGCTGGATCTACAGCGTTGACTCCATTCAGAGGCAAATGGGCGTTTTCTTTCTCGCAACARTCCGGTGCACCACCGCGATTTCGGCACTCACAGCTCAGTTGATTCCAGCACGCCGTTAGTTCAATTGGCATGACAGGCAACGACATGATATTACCCAAGCACTCAGCATTTGATCCATAGTCCTGAACAAAAGATAAATAATCGGCTGTTTCGAGACGGCCATCGTTGTTAGAATCGGCGCGTTGCAAGGCCCCATAGCAATACTCGAAATCGACTTCGCGATCTTGATTCACGGCAGGTCCGTCTTCGTATTGAGCCGTCATGTTTGTGTATGCCTGAAGAGAACGCTCGGGTTGCTGCTGGCCGGAGATTTTGCCATCTTCATCGGCCCACATGTTTGTGCGTAGTGAGTGTCGGCGATTCGGAGAAGCAGAGCCAACCAGTGACGATGCGCCGACTGCTGCTATCTTTGCTTCTTTCGTCACTAAAGATACTACGATGAACCAGTTTCGTATTTTTTGACGGGACGTTAGCATCATCGCAATGTTCTAGGATATTGTTCTAGGCTATTCTGTATTCTAACAGAGAAGTTGGAGCTTGAGGAGAGGTGGAAGATAGAGCTCGTCAAGTTCCACCGTAATAGAAAAGTGTTGCATGTATGTATGCTTGTATCAGAGTGGTTCGGTTTCTCGTTGGTGAAGGCCGAAGATCATTGTAATCCGATTGTGCGAAAGCCTCGTCGTACAAAAACCATGTTTGAATGTTGTTTCTGTGTTAGATTTTGGCGTTCGATCACTAAGGGACTCGAAACATTTTTGAGAAAGAAAAAAGATGAAGGATTGCTTGTGTTAGACAAATTCGGCTGGCTCAACACCCAAAATGACTGCCTTTTCAATCCATCACGCAATGGAAGACCAATTATTTCTCTATGAAACTAAATGGTAGTGAATCGCCACCAAATATCCTGAAAATTTTCTTCGAATGTATCAATCACAAACTAATCTTGGTACCATACGTACGGTACGTACTAACATACTATGCACGGTACGTCGCACAGCGCAAAGCCAATCCAATGAAGTACGGTAGTACGTACTAGGTAGGAAGGCAAATGTGTGGATCAAATCCAAGATAGGTTATGGATACAAAAAACGCGCCAGTTTTTAGATTAGAGCAGCTATCTTTGCTTCCTTCTTATTGCTACCAAAGCACCAATCAGAATTAGAGAATCCATCAATCAGAAAGGGTTTTCTCTTGTCTTTTGATACATGTACACATCGCTATGTKAATTTTGAAGAGAACCTTTTCTGGCTTGTCAATTTCTCTGCACAAGGAAAATTAGAAAAAATCTCATTAACACAACCACATCAAGGGACCTGTCTCACCCATTAGACTGAGCATTAAACATCATTCTCCAGTCCACACACCCACTGGAATAACTTCATTATAACAAGGATAGGGGGATCAGGAAGTCTCGAACCGATCGACTGAGTGGTTTAGAAGAAAATAGCTGTATTCAACAAGCATCAAAAACGTCAAAAACAATGAAAAATAGCAACTAAATAAGCATCAGTGTAACCAGAAAAATACCATCTTCACTTCCACCATCAAGACAACCAGTGCACTGGATTGATTCATTATAACAAGGGGAAGGGGATCCAGAAGTTTCGGATCAATCGACCAAGTATTTTGAAAAAAAAAGCAGGTTTTGCTGTATTTTGGACTATGAGCAGCAGCAGCAGCAACAACAACAACAACAACAACAACAACAACAGCAGCAGCAGCAGCAGCAGCAAGCCAGCCTCAGAAGGAAGGCTACAGGAATCCACACCACCACACAAATCAACGTCAAGGATCATGGAGAGGATGGGGTTGATTGGTGCTAGTGCCAGCACCAACAGGAACAATGAAAAGAATAAAAAACAACAACAACAACCAAAAAAAAGAAAAGCAACAACAACAACAACAACAGAAACTATTCCTGTTTGGGCTGTGGTGAATGGATATGCTGTTCCAGTATGTGAGCGCATGACAACAGCAGCGCAAGCTTTGATTGTTGCCAAGCAGGGGAACCAAGACTGCTCTGTCAGGAAAGCTATGGTGTTTGCAAATTTCACTGAAGAGGAATGCACCAACAAAGTATTGCATAATAGAGTTGTAAGATGCAGGGACAAGCTTGAGATGGACATGGCTCTTGGGGTTGTTCCCCCCTACCACGCATTGACTGTTATTCACCACCACCAGATGTATCAGGACCCACAGGAAGTACTGGTGTTAGTGCTGCTGCTGCTAGTACTACTTGCAACAACAGCAGCAACAACACCAGCAGCAATAACACTTGTAGCAAAGACAATGGCACCAACACATTCGCTGGTGACAGTTCTACCAATGGTCCTCCAAAGAAAAAGAAGAAGCATAAGCCTCCTCAGAGTGCGCAGTATTTGCATGCAAAGAAGATCAACAAGCTCAACAAAAACAAGCTGAAAGATACAGCATATCTTTCTGTTGAGAAAAAAATCAAACACTAATGTGCCCTTGGCAATGTGACAAATGTAATGGCTATGGTTGCTCAAGTCAACAAGTTGTACAATGTTGAACTCAGTGCAAAAACGGTTTGCTGGTGTGTGAATTCAGGCCTTGAAAATATTCCCCCACAGTGGCATTCTGGACATCCTTCAAGTTTGCCTTCAGTGGTGGAGGCGGCACTGGTAGATGCTATTTCTTTGTACATAAACCTCAGTTGTTCAGATATGGAAGAATAGCCTAATCAAAAGACAGTGACACAGATGATAGCTTCATGTCTTAATGGAGGACCAAATATACTTAAAAAAATTGAAAGACTTTACAATCACCTGTCAACTTTGTTTTCACCTCATGACAAAATTGTCACTGGTTTGTCTAAAATTGAAGATAGAAAAGCTAAATGGACAATCTATAATAATTTCAACTTATGGTTCAACACCCTGAAGAGTAGGTTGGTAGCTGGAGGATGGGCAAGAGAAAAGACTGCAGACAATGGTCAGGTCAAAGGAGAGCTTGTGTTCTTTCACAGTCAACTAAATCCAATACTTTACCTAGTAGACAAAAGTGGTTTGACACTTGACGGTAATCATTCTTTGAAAGGTGGCCGTTTGTCTACAAGATTCCGGTCTTCAAATCCCGCAATAGCGTCTGGCACAGATGGAACAAACAAGAGTAGTGTGCAGGTGACTTTTATTGCAGGAAGTACTGCAGCTGGATCTCCGCTGCCTCCTCACTTTCAACTTAAAACAAAGGCTGAAGATGAGGACAAAAAGATTCAAGATGCTTTCATTGAAGGCGTTCCTGACATTGGAGATGTCTACGGTAATAATAAAATGATGGCAAATAGGAGCTTCATGGTGCTTGGGCTTACTCTATTCCTTGAAAAGTGGTGCAAAGATGGTGATGGAGCAGCAAGCCAATAGCTGAAGGAATTGCAGATAGGAGGTCTTGAGCGAGGGATATTGAGAAAGAGGTGAATAAAGGAAAGAATGCTTACTCTAGATTCATTAAGTGATATGTGTTTGATAATGAAGCCTTTGTTGCTGAAAGACTGGACTAGGAAGGCAAGCTGGTCACTTATTCCTTTAGGAAGTTTGCTATCACCTATGCAAGACAGTGTGRTGGAAGCAGGGATGATGTTGGTTATAGAGCTACCACCAGTGGTTAGAAGGAGGCCTGGTGCGTTGAATAGTGGCCCAGCTGAAGCTGCTGCTGCCGGGACTGATGGAGTAGCTGAGCTTACTAAGTGTCCTCATGACCTGTATGTTCTTTGGAATGAATGGGAAGTTGGTGTTGGTCTTAATAAGCCTGCAAAGGACTTCACTGCTTCTGAGAGAGGTTGTGTAAAGGGCAAGTACTGCAGGAGGCTGAAGTTCTGGAAGTTCATGGAAAGACTCATCAGCGCTGGTTGTACTTCTGAAGTTGCTGTTAGGAGAATCTATGCAGTGTATCGTGGTCCAACCAAGAGAGTATCCTATATCCTTAAAGCTATGGGTCCTCACAAGGCCCATGGAGGACACGCATTGCTTCGTGGTCCTGCTGTTGCAGCTGCTTCTTCTTAATCATCATCGACATTGATGCTTCTTGTTATTTATTGTTGCGTGTCAAAGTCTTTCCTTACTACTTGTCCCCCCCCCCTTATATCCAAAAAAAAACATCATAAAAATAGTGTACTATGTATATCTTAACTATTAGTGCATTTTGCTAGCCTCAACAAGAGGACCATCTTAGTAGCTGGCAGGAGTGTTGGTTTCGGTGTCACAGTCAGTGATTCAAAGTTATTGTTGAGAATTACTCTCCTGACTTCTTGTGTTTTTTTGCCATARAATTTGTCTTGTGCGCCATTGTGTGAGTATTTCTCATCAATCACTCTGATACAGTCTTGCTGGTGTGCACTGGCCTGGTTCACCTTGGTGCACCTACATAGATTATGTACTGTGTTCTACATGATTGCATTTTTGGTTGATATTCCTTTGTGTACTTGTCTGGTACCAGTTATTTCTATTGCGTTAATCGTAGAATCCTACCACGCCCTACAGGGCAAAAAGGCATTTTACTCAAACACCAAAAATTACTATTAGTAAAATCACAGTAAATTTTGAAGCCCAGTATTTTAGTACCGATCCTGCATAGATCTACTAGTTTTCAGTCACTTTTTTTACCACAAACAGTTCAATAAGCTAAAATAGTAGTAATCATACTARTGTTAAGAAGAGTGCTGTGTGTCATTGTTGTTACAGGATTAATGGCCAGGGGGGGAGCTGGTTCTCCATTCACAGCTGGTATCATGGCCCTATTTTGCTGGTTTCCAAAACCAGTTAGTGGATAGAAAACAGGCCAGGGCTCTATCAAAAAACAACTCTGCACCACCAGACTACTAAGAAGCACTCAGTCCAGGTTGATATAGTAGTAATAACTTAAATATCCATGCCATTGGGAAGCTTGTTAAGGATGCTCTTGCAGCTTCTTAGAACTGGTGGTCTGCCAAAGTTACACTAGTGGGTGGCCAAAAATTGTGCCTTAATTTTGGATGTAATTTTGTATCAAAATAACTGGTACTGTACGTAGTACAGTACTGCGCAGATACAAGTACATACTTTCTTTAATGGTTCTTGTTCTCTAGTACAATTCATGTGGTATTAAAATAAGAACTGGTTACTACTAGTAGTTTATGTCACAAGTCACCATCAAAAGTAGAGAACACATTTTTATTTTTCAATATTTCTTACTGATGAACATTGTAGGGACAGCAAGAACAATGGTATGCTGATGGTGTTGTATGGAACACATACTACTAGTACTAGTACTACTAGTACTAGTAATACTATGCAAGGATAAAGTAATTGGTGATACTTCTACTACTAGTACTAGTACTAGTAGTACTAGTAGTTGCTTTTGCTACTGCTACTACATAATAGTACTACTAGTGCTGCTGCTGGGCTGTACTACTAGTAGTACTAATAGTAGTACTACTGGTACTAGTAGAAGGTACCACCATTACTAGCTATGATGAGGACTGTGGTTTGTGCCATGATGAGGATACTACTAGTAGTAGTAGTAGTTGTTGTTGTGATATTATAGTACCAATACTACTACTACTGGTACTAGTACTATAGTAATTGTTGCTTCTAGTAGTAGTAGTAGTACTACTACTACTACTAGTACTACTAGTACGAGTAGTAACTTCTTGGTATGAAGTCAACTGCTGCTTTTTCTTGTTGCTGTTTCTTGTTATTTAGTACTCCTTATTCTTGGTAGAGGCCAGCAGATGCTGCTGCTGTAGTAAAGAAAATACTTCTGTCATTGGATTTTGTGAAAGATTGAGGTTCTTAATCACCACTAGCTACTACTAGTACTACTCACTATGATGAAACCTCAAATGCAATGGTAAGTAGGGAAAAACTATCAAGCTCATTCTTTTAAAATCCCAACTTTCGTACATGAAACTATTACTGTATGGACTTGTCCACATTCTTATTGATAATCCAGTGCTTCATGTGTCTCTGACAAATTACTATGAAATACTAAGTACCGTACCGCATGGTAGCATCTTTCTCTTCAACCGATGTCACAAGTTGAAAAATACCAGACCATCATGATAAATTAGAAAACATGAATCCAAAGACGCAACGAAGACTACTATGCTGCCATTTCAACAGCCTTTGACAACGACTTTGCAGCTTCGTTCCCTGGGTTGTCTTGCACTTCTTCCGGATGACCTTCTCCGTAGACAAGTTTCATTGCGTCTGCGCCTTCATTTCCAGGATTAGCCATGGCCTCTTTCATTTCTTCTCCTGATTGATCGATCCGGCTATCACGAGTGTTTCCTTCACTGTCCTTGTATTTGTATGCATCCTTAAACCAATCATCGAAAGCGTGGCGGCTTTCGTCGTCAATGGGATCTTTCATCTGTTCATCGTGCTTAGAAACAAAATGCAAAATCACAAAGGTGGCCGCCACCATTAGATATGCGGTGAATTCCATCCATTGCTCGGAATATTCCCAGCAAGTTCCGTCAGCATCCCAGCAATATTGCCATGAAGGTGAATTAAAGTTCGAAAAACCGGCAGAAAAAGAATGAATGATTCCAAACACTGCAAAGAGGGATGCAATCACGGACCAAATCGCAGCCGATACCCATTGTCGGTCGATAACGTTTACTAGGATGGAGGTCCAAAGCAAAGATACCAACAGCGATCCATTCTTCCAGTTCAATACTCCCATCCAGGTAGGAGACTGTACTGATGAGATGTCATAGCTAAAGGTGTCGTCAATCAATGGAGATCTAGCAGAAACGTTTACCAACCAATCGTAGACACTAGGAAATAAGCCGATGATGTAGGCCGCATACTGGCGACTCGGCATAAAGTTCAGGGCTTCCTCATTAACTTGTAAACCAACAAAGAATACGATTGGTCCAATTGTTGGTTGATTTACAATCGATTGAATCAAGGCCAGGATTCCGAACCAAGAGAAAATTCTTTTTTGACGTAAGGCGGATGAGACGACAAATAGGAAGAAGAAAGGATGGGGGAGATGAGCGACAAATAGGATCAAAGTAAGCAGAAGACTGGCTCCCGGTACTTCTTACGARTAGTTTGTTTCCCATAAATCGTTTTACGAGGTTGTAGTACATCAAGATGGCTCACTGGTTCGTACTTACAAGTATGTAACTCCATTGACAAGAGAATATCCTGCTTTGGCACCGCTTCGCTTGTAGGCAGGGTGTCCAATATAAATAACGGTTCCGAAAGGGCTTCCAAAGAAACTAGATATACAAGTTCCAACTCCATCAGAAATCATTGTCTCTCGTACAGGAAAAGGATCACCGGCTTCTTTTGCAGAAACCAAACACATAAGTGTCGATGCAGCTGCCGAAATCCCCAATGGGATGATAATTCCTAAATAATTCTTGAGATCAGAGAAATCTTCAAACATTTCTGTTGCCGTCCAAGCTGATTAATCGTTGCGAGCAAAAATCGATTCGAAAAGTTGAGATGGATCGGTCTAAGAATCAATCATCGATCGAAAGTCGATTTGTCAGTGCGGTGCATAAAAATTGATTGAAACTTACTTGGTCCGTACCATTTGACGAGCTTAGATGCTTTCGCCACGTCTTCGGACTTGTTGAGCCCGGTGATCCAACCCATGACGACACCAACAATGATGACCTGGAGAGCTTCGGGTAGACGAAAATTCTTGTACCCGATCCTAACTCCGGCATACCATCCTAGGTAAACCCACAGCATAGCGTTGTATCCAACTAAGGGTACAGATACGGAGTTAGCTATGTTTTCTAGTCCTAGAAATGCAATCCCAATCCCTGCAATCGGAACCAACAGTCCTGCTGGAGGAACAAATTTCAAAATCTGCATTCCAAAAATTCCTAAAACGATAGAAATCAACCCAGTGATGAAATTTGCCGCCAACGAAACCTTGTATCCTTTGACAAATGCTTCGTCACCACCGCCCTCGGTAAAGAAGACGTTGTAGATAATGTTAAAAACAAATGCAAATGCACCTGGAGTGTTAATTCCATAAGGCTGTGCAGTGTACTGGCGTTTATACTTGTTTGTCAGACGAATAGCTTGCCAGGTGTAATACAAATTTCCGATGACCAACGTCAACCCAACACCTGGAGCAATCTTGCCCCAAACGATGTCATTCATAACATCTTCGGAAACGGATATGTCACCCATGTACGACAATCCTTGGATCGCGTACAATGCACCTAGCAGGGTACCTAGGTTATCAAAAAATAGTTGTGTGAAACTACCCCAATCCCCTCCTGACATAGTGAACCCGTCCTTGAGGGAGACAACCTCCTTTTCATACCCAGCCATGGTACAAAAAAGATAAAATATTGAATGTAAGTAGCAAGCGTTGTGAGAGGTGGTTGGTTAAGCAAAAATTCGATATAGAAACACAGAATTCTGTTTCAACAAATATATTTAGATCGTGCTCAACGATTGGTGAAAGGACGTACATCTTGAACGATAGACAAGGCTGAGCCAATGCTAGATCGGCGCCTTTCTCTTGCCTCCTGCGGTTCTTCCAGGGGGGGTGGATTTTTGGAAGTCATTTTTTCGATACTGTCTTTCACTCGATCAGGTAGATGGCTTGTGAAACCAAGATGATTTTTTTGTGCGTCAAAGAAAAAGGCATGMCATGACGACAGAATTGTTTCAACTTTACACGAGTTGGGGTATTCTCATGCAGAACTAAGAAGAAAAAGAACTTCCTGGTCAAAAGTTTTACTTTCGTCGACAGCGATAATATTGATAAATAATAATAGAACAACGTGATACTGTACGGAGTACTCGTACGTAAAGTACTGTATTCCGATTGAAAAAAGATCACTTTTAGAAAAAGTTGCCTCCCGAATACTGGAAGGGAGAAGTTGTCATACGAAGTTAAAAAAAAAATATCTTAATTTCGATATGCCTTTGTAGAATGCTCTGTTCCTGAGAATTCTATTGCCAGCTTCAGGCTTCGGCTTGGAGCGCCCTGTCAGAATTAGAGCTCCTCATGTCAAGAGCACTAACGCCAAGTTCATGGCAATGCCCAGCTGTCGATTTTTTTCATTTTCCCGTATTTATTTCTCCTCTCCCCCCACAGCTKTTCAAAACGCTCATTTTGGCCATTTTCGTTCGACTTCGGTGTTAATTTAGAGTTAGGGATAAAATTGGCTGGCTAATGCAAGTACTTACTACGGTGCAAAAACTAAGTGAGGTCAAAAAAATGAAGAATAATTTATGTGGATTAACAGTTAATACAAGAACACCTGAGACTGTCTATTGTTTCTAAAATAGGAATGAAATTCATTGATTTTTTGTCTGTGGTGTTCGATATTGTTGGCAGTGTTGTTGTTTTTTGAGAGAAGAGGAGAGGTGTTCTCCCTCACAAACAGACCACTGGAAGTTCTAACTCTTGAAAGCACAACATAAATCCAATTGCTTGAAAAAACCAACACATTTTCCAAAGATCTTCCCTGTAATTTCCCTGTAATTTGTGAACAGTTCTTGCATTGGCAATATTAATTGGCAATTGAGTTATGCATATTCCCTTRTGACTTCTTGTTTGTATTTGATGTGTAATGTTAGACTCATGTTCTTGAGGACATCAAAATTTAGCCTGTGCTGCAGAACTTTGTGAAGTGATCTTGATCACTTTTTAGCTTCCTTCTTCAAGGACTAGTAGTAGCTCTATCCATTCAACCTTGTCAGCGTCCACACATCAAACAAAATATCCATCAATGTTGATACTAACTTCACAATCCTGGTACCCAATTTTTAGTTTTGCTGGCTTGAATGTACACATGGCTCCATTTGCTTTAGATCTCTCCACATCTATAGTGTCATTAATCATGACAGGTCTTCCAACATACAATTTTAGCATTGGATCTATCCTTTTGGAAGATTTTACTCCACCTGCAACAACATCAGAATCTGAAGCAGCAGTCAGTAAGCAATATTTTTGAAAATCTGGCATGTCTCTGTATTTTCTTTTTCTGTCTATCTGCAGTTTCAGGTTTGAAGCTTTGATTACAATTGTGTGATCTGGCAACCTGCAGTTTATTCTTTGAATGTGTTGTTCTGAGAAATTCAGAAAATATGCCATCATTTATTGCACATTTGTCTGTGTTACTGTATGTTTGAATAAGTAATATCTTCAGAGAGATTGTCCCAAGGTTTTGCAATTCTTGAATTGATCATTTGAATATGCTCTTCTTTCAAACCATTTGTTCTTAAACCATCAAGAAGTTTTCCCCAGARCACGTCATTTTCAACCTGTGGTTTGTTTTAAGTTCAAGAAATGTGTTGGTTTTTTCTCTACAGAGATAAAAGTCCTTTTTCATCAAGAGTGAGTCTCTTGCCACTGGTTTGAGTTGATTGAAGTCTTGGGTTGGACAGTCAAGAATTGTTGTTTGTGGAGACTCCCATGTACCCAACCCCAACTTCTTAGATGATGCTAGTAGTAGTAACAAATCCTAGTAATACTAGGAGGAGATTGTTTTTCAGGTATACATTTTGTTGCTCTGCTTCTTGTGGTGCCAATCTCCTGGTGATTACCACGTATTCTGATTCATGACCCAAACTACACTACTGGTAGTATTACTGCTACTAGTGATATCAGTACCAGTAGTGGTACTAGTAGACTAGTAGTAGTAGATTAAACAAGCAAACAAGAACAACAATGAAGTTGAGAAGAACTTGGTTTGGACAGTAAATAGGCTGCTGATTTGGCACAACAAAGTAAAGAAGTATTGTACATGGACAGTAGGCACATGAGGAGCAATACTCCTATGTGCTATTTCTTATGTTATGCTATGTGATGTAGTAGTACTAGTAGAAGAAGTAGTCCTACTAGTAGTGACAAATTCAAAATTGCTCTTCTTACTGTGTCATTTCTCTAAAAATGAATATTCTGTTTCTTTGTCAAGTTACTATCTAATTTATTTGCAAAAAATGGAATACTGGGTTTTGTGTTTTTTTGTAAAGTTACTAGCTAATTTATTTGCAAAAAATGGGATACTGGGTTTTACATGGATTCTACACAAAAAGCAAGTTTCTTTTTGTTTCTTTGGTAAATACAGAGCAGTTAGAATTCTTCAAGGCTACTGGCTTCTGTGCAAAAGTGTACATGATAGTCCAGTGCACTGTAGCCATCTAATATTTTGGTAAGAATCTAGTATTCTGATTGGCTGACAAKAAGGATTGAGAATTTATTCACGTGTCTAGAGAGCAATTTTTTACTTGTTTGATTTAATCATAGAATTTCATTCAGGAGTGAAGATAGATCAAATCTTCCATTTTGACTAGTTTGAATACATCTTTGACTAGTTTAATAAGATTAACCTGAACTCTAAATCAATGCCAAAGTCGAGCAAAAATGTCTGCTGGAACAGCTGTGCCCCATTAGCCCTTACTACTGGACAACCTCTATTACTATTTACTAGTGGCAAAGATAGTGGCAATCACTGCAAACTGCTGGGTAAGGCTGTTCTGTTGGTGCTGCTTTCCTCTTGCAGCACTGAATTTGTGATTGGTCAATTGTGATCAATCTTGATCACAAATTTTAGCCGGCATACATTATCTCACATAATTAGTGCCTTCTTGTTACTAGTAGTACTAGTACTAGCTAGTAGTACTACTTGTAGTTCTAGTTCTTCTTGTTCATATTCTTTGACAAAAGCTTGCACTTATTTTTCTTGCATAGTTTCTTTTCCCATCTTACAGAGCTATATATTCATGTTTGAAGTATTAGTAGTACTAATATTTCTAGTAGCTGCTAGTATGTCACACAAACCAGATCAGGCCTACTGGGAATTTTGAGCAGTCAGCACCATCAAATGTTTGTTGACACCTGCTGTTAGATTATTGATGGAGAATAAGTTTATTAAAAATCTTTCATTACTCTCTTTCCCCAGAACATCCTTCTTGATTTGCCACTCATTAAACCTTGAAGTTTCCCAACAWTATGGTGCATGCTTGCTTATGAGAGTGTTGTGAGTGATGGACAGATGCAAGACAACAAAGACCCAAAACTATTGAACTACTTGTCCACAGAACTAACAAACCACCTTGTCACTCATTCTTGAAGTATTGCAGCAACAAGGTACTATGGTGAGATGAGATTCTAAGGTAGCAGAATACTACTACAAAGATTCACACTTCAACACCTTCTTAGAACTACCAAACCATATACCTTTGAAGCCACAACATGTAAGCAACAGATCACCACAAAAACATACTGTACAGCAAACTAATGCCTCTGCTAAGAAAGCACCCCTGCCGTGCACCACAAAACCACAGTTACCCAAACTGCATCTCCCCAAAGCACTCCCACTGTGCGCAACAATATCCCCACAATGCTGCCCTMCCCAGCCACTCACAAATGCTGCCCTGCCCAGCCACTCATGAACGCTGCCCCAAAGCAACAAACACCAAGCCACAAACCTCTCCCAAAAACAATGGCAAATTTTTAAAAATGCAACAACAAACACAACCAGCTAAACCATACAACCTAGCTCCCACAGAACTGCAAACCCACCTAAGTTTCACCTTGACCATAACAGAAATGGACACGTTGACCAACCCAACCAACCACTCAAATATAAAACGGCAACAACACACACCCAAACAACAAATTACAGCAATGACATGCACCACACAACAATTATTTACACCCACTAGACAAAAATCATCTTAACTATTACCCTACCTAGAAAAACAAAAAATTTAACTCAATGAGCCACACTCAAGTGCAAACATACGCCAGATCCCCATCCTTCAGGCACTACCTCCAGCCCTCCTCTCCCCACTACATCAAAGACAACATGCCAACCCATCCAAACAAACTCAGCCATGACCTCCTTACATCCCAGGAGATCACCTGCACTACTGCAACAGCCAAATGGCTCCTTAAAGCTTGCATAAAAAACACCACCAACCCCAGAACCTCCCCTCCCTCCAAACCTATCCACCCAGATCATGAATGACCTAGACAACCTCTGGCTGACCCAAAGCACCAAGATAATTGACCTCCTCTTGGAAGCAAACATCATTACAACACAAACCCAAGTCCTCATGTTCCTCTTCACATACCACTGCCCCCTGGCTGCCAAGCTCTGTAAAGTACACAACATCCTCCAAGCCAATAACCCCTACCTCAATGGAATCCCAAACTTCCAGTGGGATATTTCTGCAGAGCTTCTCTGGTGGCAACTCACAATTGCCACTACTAAAGCCTTTTTCTCCCACTGAACCACTGAAACCAAYCTCATCACCAGCAACACCCCTAACCCAACCCTCGCCATCCTTGTTGCCTTCATCCCTAGTGGCATCTTCCACAAACTCAGCATCAAACCCACCATGTTCTTCCCTCCCTCCCACAAACACACATCCCAACATAGATCACAGCCAGAGCACCCCCAAATAGACTTGACCTGGCCACAGAGATCAGGCCCCTCCCACACATCAAGAAACTCCCTCCAGCAAGCAGAAAAATACTTGCAACCTGCAAAAAAACAACCAGCACCTCCACACCATCGCAACTGCACAATCCACAACAAATTGTCCTGATGGCACTATCTTTGCAGCGCGGCTCAGCATCCACCCCAACGACTGCATCTGTTTTTACTTCTTTGGAATCTGTGACTCCCTGTGCTGTTG